GACGGGCCACTGGACAGCCAGCTGCAGACTGGGGCAGAGGGCGACGCAGCCTGACCGGATGCCAGTGGTGAAAAATATATATAGATTTTCTGTTGTCAAATATAGTCATACATTTATTTTCTCGGCAAAGCGTTGAATCTTCCTAAGGAGACTCACGGCACATCTCCATGAGCCCAGGGCACAGGGGCTGGGTCCGCGCCTTTGCTGGCTTGGCTTCGGATTGGGTTTTGTCTACTGAACCCCTCTCCAGGTTGTGACCCGAGTGAGGCCAGCTCCAGGCATTGAGCAGTCTGGGGTGGGGGTGGCGGTGGGAGTGGGGCACCCCACACAGAATGGCTGGTCTGAGGTCCTGAAGTGGGGCTCTGGAGGCACGAAGCGCGTGGCGGGTGGGGCGCTCTGCCCCTGGGGGTGGCTAGTGGGCGCCCATTCCAGTGCATGCAGGTGCCACTCAGTGGAAGGGCACTCGGGAGGGTGATGAACGGCAGGGCCCGAGAGCCAGGCTGCACCTGGTGGTGCAGTTGGTCAGGCCACACCTGGTGGAGCAATGGGGTTTAGGACAAGCCGTCCTGGCAGAAAATCATTGACACCCCGCCCCCCCCCCCCAGCCACAGGGGTAATGAAGACACAGGGTCACACCAGCCTACCCTAAATGTGGGGATTCAGTCTCTGAGTGTGGGTGGGGTGAACAGACAAGTGGGGCCGCTAAGGGCAGGTTTCCCCTAAAGTGATGATGGTAATGAACTTCAGATGCCAGCAGCTGAGTTGGAGGGTGCTGCTGAGGGCCTGGGACAAGAGGTGGGAACAAGTCGCTTCCCAGGCAAATCGCCCATCCCCACTTCCTGCAGAGTGCACCCGGGACACCCGGCTTTGGTCTGGAAGGACGGGCTTCATGGCTTCAATAGGCCCTCTGATGAGTCGCCCTGCCAGAATCCATCAGAGGCATAGAGGCATAAGATTCAGAAACCCTCACCCAGAAAGCAAGGGACCAGCTCCCTGGACACCCTGGGGAATGGGAGCCCAAAGCCCCAATGTGCACAGAGTGCAAGCAGGGCTCCCGGTGCACTCGGCCAGCCCTTCTCCTCGTGCTGGCCGCTGCCCTGGCCCGGAAGCCGGGGCTTAGATTAGGCAAGCAAAGTGTCCTCACCCTAGCCCGGACTGGCTGGCCCCTCTCCACTAGGCATGCCCAGCAACGCCAGGAGGAAACGGCTCATGGGAAGGCCTGGGATGAGCAGAGAAAACAGGGACCCACACTACCCTCCATCCTGCCCTTGGCTCCAGCCGGTGTCTCTGAATTCCAAAGTGGGGCGCAGCCTAGGGAGTCTGGAGCCCGGGCCCAGTGGGCTTGACCCCCACTCTGAGTCTTTGGGTTAGAGGTCAGCACGGGGGCGTAGACCACTCCATCCATTTCAGAAGATGATAATACTGCTCAGCCAAGATGTAGGAGATGGGGCAGATGGTGGCTCCAGGGCAAACTTGGGCTCAGACCCCTCAGATGAATACAGCCAGAGACTTCCTGAGCGAGCCTGCACATCCAAGGGGCCAGTGGATCGTCCGGCCGGCCAGGGGCAGGCTCACCATTCCTCTCTCTTCAGCTGGTGCCACCTGGGTGCCCAGCACGCCCTGTCCTTCCCTGATGTATCCCCACATTCCCTTCTCCTCCGGGTTGTTTTGGGATTCATTTCCCAACCTCTGCTCCCAGCTCTATGCGTGGTCTATACCCTGAAGAAAGAGTTCTAAGCCCCAAACTAAATAAATCAGAGGACGCCCAGCGGTGTAGGTGAGGGGGAAGGGCACCCGAACATACAATCAGCGGTCAGGTCGCAGGAGCCACTGGCCGGGTGGGGCCCCCTCAGAGCTGGGAGCCGCCCCCCGCCCCGCTGGGCCCCGGGGGGCTCAGTGAACGGCAGCTGATCCTGCGGATGGAGTGCAAGGCCACAGTGCAGCAGCCCCGGAGCAGGGAGCTGATGTTGTAGACGGGCTGGCCCTGGCGCCGCTGGGAGTGGCAGAGCCAGGCCACCGTGGGCACAGCTGGCACTACCACGGCCAGCAGGTCCACGATATAGTGGCGGCTCCAGTAGCTCTTGGGCTCCTTCTCTGCGGTGGCCTCAGTGGTCGCCTCCTCCTCTTCCTCCACGGGGCACACCACGCTCACCGACAGGCCGGAAGTGGGGTTGGCACCGGGTGGGTGGGGGGCAGGCCCACGGGTGACAGGCTCTAGGCCCTGCAGCTCATCACCCACTGTCACCACCACGGCTGAGTTGGGGTCCCTGGGCCTCGAAGGGCAGGAGTCCCCGGACTCTGGACCGGCCCTGCAGGCCTGGGCATGGGTCACTTTCTCCAATATGGTGTCCACGTCGGGCCGGGACTGCACAAAGTCCGTCTGGATGGCGCGCTCCTGCACACAGCTGGCCTGCACGCCGGCCTCGGAGCCACATAGCAGCTTCTCGTAGGTGCTGCTGGCGGGGAAGCGGGGGCCCAGGCCGAAGGAGCTGTGCAGCGAGGCGGCCTCCTCGAGCCCGCAGTCCACCCCAGACGACAGCAGGCTGCTGGCCTCCAGCGCGTCCGTCCGGCTCAAGGTGTCCTCGGCCGCCACGAAGCCACTGTCGGCTCCCTCCTCCGCGGAGGCGCTGGCGGGGTCGCCACAGACTGCCGGATCGCTCAGCTTGGTGTAGGTGGAACTGCGGGTGAGGGAGCGGGCTGGGGAGCCGCCTGCTGACTCCCGGGTGCCGTCCTCCTTGGCCGAGCCATTCTGGGCCTCCTCCATGCTGTGCAGCAGCGTCTCCAGCTTCTTGTTCTGGATGTTGATGTCCACGAAGTACTTCTGCAGCCCCTTGTCCTTGTCGATGAGGTTGTTTTTGACGTTGTCGATGACCTGCTTGAGCTGCTTGATCTCCTTGCGGGCCTCCTTCAGGGCCAGCTGGGCCTCCACGCGGTGACACTCCTCCTCGATCCAGTCCTCCTGCATGCGGGACAGCTGTGTCTTCAGGTCGTCAATCTCCGTGTCCCTGCAGACAGACACACGGGCGCATGCTCGCTGCCTGCCTGCCCGGTCCGCCACCCAGGGGCCTGGGCTAGTGCCAGCCGACAGCTCAGGACTGGGAAACACACACACATGCGCACACATGCACACCGACACACACACACACACACCCGGAGACACAGGTATACACACACACTACATGCACACAACGACACACACGCATACACACAGAGACACACACACACAGCGACACATACGCACACACACAGACACACATGCACACTGACACACACACACACACGCGCACACACACACACACCCGGAGACACAGGCATACACACACCGACACGCGCACACTACATGCACACAATGACACACATAGCGACACATATGCACACACTCACACACAGACACACATGCACACACAGACACACATGCACACACATGCACACTGACACACACAGCGACACATACGCACACACTCACACACAGACACACACGCACACACACAAATACACGGACACGCGTGCACACAAACACAATGCCACATATGCACACACATGCAAACACACTCACACAAACACACGCAAGCAGACACACATGCACACACAAACACAATGACACATACGCACGCACACATGCAAACACACACACACTTTCACACTCACACACCTTCACACTGACACAGACACCCACAAACACACTGATGCACACTCACACACACACTCTCATACACACACACTCACTCACACTCGCCGTCTGCCTGCAGGGCCCCCATGGCGGAGCCGGCGTGAGGACAGCTCAGCCCTGGAGAGACACAGTGTAGGGCGAGGCTCTTCTTCATGCCCAGCCCCTGTTCCGTGCGTGCGCAGAGAGGAGTAAGGGTGGGAGAGGGAACCTGCTGGAGGGTGACAGGGGAGGTCCCCTCCTGGGGCAGAAGCCTGGGCCACAGGACACACGCCCTCATCCCGGTCCCCTGGAGGCCGAAGGCGGGTTGGTGACCCCCTAGCAGCATCACTAGAGATGAGCGTAGCCGCGGGGCCTCACTGGGAAGGAGCCCTGATTCTGCCCGGTGCTGACCCGCCACGTGGAACCGCAAACTCCAAACACTGCTCACAGAGAGGCTGGGACCCCACTGAAGTGGGCCGTGGAAACATCAGGGGGAGCTTTCTGTGGACAAGGTGCATGTGTCTACAGGGGGAGCTGATGGTTCAACACCTTCCTCCAGGCAGTGGGGTGAGGGCTGGAGAGTGAGTTGGAAGAGAGTGCAGAAAACATATCCTCCCTGCCATCGAGGCGATGCCGACTCAGAGCGGCCCCACAGGACAGGCGAGAGCTGGCCCTGTGAGATTTGGAGCCTGCAGCTCTTCAGGGGATTAGAGGGTCCCATCTCTCCTTCAGGAAGAGAACATGGCGACCGCTGTGCCCATGCTCCAAGTTTCTTCTCTTGTGTCTACTGTGAAGCGGAAAGGCTGGGAAAGGCCCAGAGCTCCTCCCGGGAGAAGTGGCAAGCCCCGGGCCAACGAGACAGCCAGCAACCCTGGTCCAGAAACACTCACGCTTGTGTGGGTCCCTGAGTTGCAGGGGACCTGAGGGCTGGATGGGAGGAGAGGGTTAGAGAAACCTTCCCTCAAGTCCCAGAGAAAGCCAGGGTAGGACTCCAGTCCCTCACTGAAAGGTAAGGGGCCGGGTTGTGGGGTAGAGGCAGAACATTGTTCCTGAGACCAAGAGCCTGCTGAGGACTAGGGACCCCACATGGCTGCTCAGCCCCAACCCAGTGTTCCTGGAAAGAACTCCAGGGATGAGCCCAACCTAGGGACTGTCCCAAGTCCAAGCAACCCGCGCTTTTCAAAGTCAGACCTGACATCCAGTTAAGGAAATGGCCCAAGAATGTCATCAACCACATACATGCTGAGCAGAGGGGGGTGTACTGACTGCCCAACAGAAGCAACGGAAGTGGGAGGGCAGCGGCCAACCAGAGAGGCTTAGAATGGCACGTCTGTTCCTATCCCAGGGATGGCGTGACACAAGATGGGGGTGGGGTGGGGTGCTCGCTCTTCACCCCTTCCCCTGACTCGTGGAGAAGCCCTTCCTGATTCTTCCCTCGTTCCCCACCACCACCACCACCACCACCACCTTCCACTCTCTCTGGCACTCTGGGATGGAGAATGTGGAAGGAACTTGTCATGCTCAGTGTGACCTGCCAGTCCTGTCTCTCTGTCCTTCCCGGCCGGTCCCCAGCGCAGTGTGCCCCAACCCAGCATTCATATCTGAGGGGTGGTGGGGCAACAAGAGCATGCGGTCACCTCCCCCCGCAACTCCGCTGGGCTGACATCCTTCACCATAGCTGCTAGTGGTGGTGCTAGGGCCCACCTCGTGGCTGACCTCTGCACGAGGGGATTGGACTGGATCGGGTGGTGGTGACCTGTAGCCTTTTCCCTGGCTGGTTTTTATGTCCACCTCAGTCTGGAAGATCTGCCAAAGAAAGCTGCCCAGCGTCATCGCAACCACAACCCTCCACTGACCGGCAGGCGAGAGGTGACTGTGCTGGAGGCCCAGCAGGGGCCCAGGACTCTCAGGTGAAGGGCAAGAATGCAACCACTGACCACCCCCCAGCCCTGTGCTTGCTTTACAAGGAGCAGGGTTGAAACGGCTCCGATTCCCTTCACCATGTCTTTCTCTTAACCGGCTCTGGACTTGGTGTTGGGGGAGTGGGAGGTCAGGGAGAAAGGGTAGCAGGCACGGACCTTCTAAAATCGCAGCATGAAGTCTGTGTGAAGAGCCCTGAAGACATGGAGACTGAGCAGGATGGACACTGACGGGGCAGAGGGGACATGCGAGCTGAGCAAAGGAGGATGGGTTTGTCAGGGAGGCAAGGCAGGGGGCCAGGGGCACAGAACACAGAGCGCGGAGGGTCAAAGCACATGGTGCTTAGGAGGGGAAGAAGTGAGGCTCCTGGGGGGTGGGTTAGAGGTCTCCCACTAAGGACGCAGAGAGTGTGAGGGTGTGGCAAGAGAGACCTTCCATTTCTGCAGGCCCAGCATGTCCACTGGTCCTGCTAGAGTAGCAGACAGTGCCAGGGAATTTAGGGTCACAGCGTGGGTTCCCGCCCTACCCCCACCTGGAGGATGGCCAGCTCGGAGACCTGGGGCGAGGTCCTGGAGAGGAATCTGGGGGAGAAGACAGTAGTGCAAGTGACCAAGCAGGCCGGGCCTCCCTGGGGAGATGGCTGCAAACACAGATAAAAACCCTCACTCTACACACCAGGCCACGAGAAGGCCGCCACACCTCCGTCCAAAGCCACCACACGTCTGAGTGGGGCTGACACCGGGCAAGGGCTCTGGCCTGTGGTGGGCCCTGACCTGCAGTGCCTCGCCCAGCACATGAGAGGCCAGATTTGAGGCCACGGAGCGGGATGGCTAAGAAAATGGAAAAGACCAGAGGGCGGCCCCGAACCTCCGTTGGATGCCTTAGAGGAAAGATGGAGCTTAGAAATGTGGGGCTGGGAGGGTTAGGGTGGGGGCGTGCCCCTACAGGCTCTGAGAGCAAGCTGTCAGTCAGCAGGGCCCTTGGGGGCTTTTGGGAGATTCCTGGGCCTGGCAGGCAGGAGCTCGCTCTGCAAAATGTTTCCCAGAATCCCACATTGTCTGGAGGCAGGACGTCGAGGGGTGAATGGCCTCTGGGGCTGTCAGTGGTAGGCCAAGAGCCCCACCATCTTTGTAGAGGGACCCATGGGAGAGGTGACTGGCTGCTTCTCCCCACAGGGAAGCCAGGAAGCCACCCCTGGGCCCTCCACCCCAGGCAGAAAGGAGCCAGGCCACAGGAAGTGGCTCAAGGGGCTGTCAGGCTGACCCTGCTCGGAGGCCGGTGAGGGGGCACGAGTTGGCTGACCCTGTTGGGTGGGCAAGGCGAGCAGCTGAGGAGAGAAGCGGGGTGGGGCTCTGGAGCGGACACCCATTGGGCTTTGCTGGAAGCCCCCAGCTCTCCTGCGATGCCTCCGGGCCTGGCTTGGCGAGTGTGGGGGCAGCAGGTTGGCCCCAGGGCCACCCAGGTGGCTCACTCACCGGTCCTGGAGCCGGTCCTGAGTGTCCTTCAGCCGGGCCCGCAGGTGCCGGATGCACACCTCCTTCTGCTGCAGTGGGGTGAGGTACTGCTCCGGGGTGGGGGGCTTGATGCCGTGGTTGTCGCTGCACAGCGTGTACTTCATGGAGCGCCTGGAAGAGGTCCCCAGCCTAATGACCTTTGTCCTCTGGCCACCAGATGACTCCAAGCCAGGCCCGCCCACCCCAGGGTGTGAGAACAGACAGCCACTCTGCAAGGCAGGTTCTGGTCCTGTTATCGGAAAGACGCAGTGACATTTGAAGGGGCCTCGGCAGACGTTGATGTGGGTCACAGACCACACAGGACAAACACGTGAGCCTGGTACCGGCCCCCTGACAGCAGCCCTGGGGTCAGGACTGACTCCATCTCTCTGGGGGCTCCCTGAGGCCAGAGAGGGGACCTCTTGCCCAAAGTCCCACAGACTGGGCTTCCTGACATCCCACCCAGAGGAGAAGATGGGGGTGGAGGCAGGACTGGATGGGCTGCCCCAGTGTCCTCTGCTTCTCCCGGGCTGACTGGATCTACCTGTGGACAAGGACTGCCTGCTCCCAAACTCCTGCTGCAGAACAAGAAACAGCAAGCCCAGAGCTGGTTGCAGGGCCTGGCTGGGGGGTGGGGAGCAGGGGTGCTGGGGACCAGGAAGCAGGCAGACTCATGGGAATGGGCGCAGCCACCCCCACGTACACCCTCCCGCATGCTCACACACCCCTGGTGTGTACTCCCTGTTTGTGCACTGATTTGGAGCCCCCTGGAGGACAGGGACCCCACCTCCATGTGCATGCTCAGGCCCACACGTCCCCACTGTCTGGCCGCCATGGCCATGCCCAGGGCCGCCCGCCTGCACGTTCTGCGTCCACATTCACACCAAGGCACGCGGACACTTTCTATCTGGTCTGGCACCCACCTTGTGCTCCGGGGCACACGCGACTATCCCCTGTGCAAACACACACGTGAACCCGTTCTGACCTGGGCTTCTGTCTCCCTGACACGGCCAAGTGCTGAATGTACACCCCCACCGCCACCCCCCCAGCACGAAGTGGCATAGATGTAAGGCTGCAGCCCATCTGGGTCCTCCTACCTCGGTCCCTGCCAGGGGAGGAGAGAGGGAGGGCCAGACCAGGGCCATGGCCCCTCGAGGCTCACAAGTGAGGAGACCACCCCAGTGGTTCCACCCAAGGTCATGGCCCGGCTGCCTTGACTCACTGCCCGGTGGTTTCCTTCCTAAGGAAACCTCCTTGAGCCTTGTCTGGAAGAGCCGCCCGCTCTCACACAGCGAGGGATCCTGCAGGCCTCGGTGCCACCCGACTCTGCCACTTTAGGGGGTGGGGCAAGGTGGGAGTTGGATGTTTTATGTCACCTTGCATTTATGGAGGGGGTGGAGTCCAACCTGTCAGTCAGGTGGCAGCCTGATGATGCCTCCTGGAGGTGTGGCCTTTTACGAGGGAAGAAGCGGAGAACCTCTCTCTCTCTCTCTCTCTCTTTCTCTCTGCCCCTTTGCCTTCCTGCTGGCTGGGACACTTCCTATTCCCTGCGGCGGCCCCACGTGGGCCACGCGACCTCGAGAGCTGTCTGTGCCCTGTCGTGTTTCCACCGGCCTTGGAGCCACCGGCCTTGGCACCCCTCTGCCTGTGCCTTGGCAGCCCTCTGCCTGTGAGCCTCCTGCATTGCCCGTCATCTTTCTGCGTCCTCAACCTGCAGCCCGACGAGGCCGGGGAGGGCCCCAACCTGCATGGACTTGTGGGCCTGAGCTGGCTTGGACTGGAGGACCTTCTTGAGATAAGACTTTCTCTTGTTATAAAGCGGTTTCTTCTACATATACGAGCGTCCCTGGAGTCATTTCTCTGCGCCACCTGACCTAACCCAGGTGGGGCCTCCTGGTCAAGGGAGGGACGGTAGCATTTTTAGGAGCCTGAGAAACAGGCTCTGGGGAGGCCCATCGCCCAGAGCGGCCAAGCTGGAGGCAGCTTGCACGACCTTTGAGAGCTGGTTCATGCTTCCTGAGGCAAGGCACATCTGGGGGTCCACCGTACACGGCTGGAGAGAAGGTGGGCACGGAGCTCCGAGTCCGATGGAGGCAGGAGGCGAGACCCTCTTCCGCTCAGCGGCTGTGTGACTGGACCTCGAGCCACTTACCTGGGGGTGGGGCTGCTGTCACTGCCCTTGTAGGAGCCCGAGTTGCTGCTGCTACTGAGGGAAGAGGTGCCGTAGGCTTCCCGCACGCTCACGGGCGGAGAGGTGCGCCTGGAGGCAGGGAGAAGAGGCAGGTGCTCATTCTGGCTGGTGGGCAGCTGGGGACACTGGGCAAAGACCGCCAGGCCGCTGTGGCCCAGGGAGTCCCCACTTCAGGGTCACGGCAGGGAGAGAAGCAGCGAGGAGAGGGGTGCACAGACAGGGGTGAGAACAAACAGCGCAGGTCAAGATAGGAAACTGCGGGAGGCTGGACCTCCTGGTTCCCCGGGACATGCATGAGGGCTGGGCTGCAGCAGGGACCCAGGGAAGGCGCTTATCTACCCTGACCCCAGGGCCTCCACTTTTAGGGACTCCCCATGCACAGATGGAGTTAGAGTCGGAGCACCCCTGGATCAGGAGCGACAGTGGGGAGAGTGCGGCAGGCAGGAGCGGTTGGGAAGAGGGCTGAGGTCGGGGTGGGGGTGGGGGTGGGGTGGGGGGCGCGGAGCTCAAGGCAGGATGGAGACCGAAGGCTTCCCTCAAACTAAGGCCACATTGAGTGGGTATTTGGAGGAAACAATGGTTTAAGATCCTTGGCTCATCCGAGTGAGGCCTGGTGGTGTAATGGTTATGCATTGGGCTGCCAAGGTCCACAGTTCAAGACCACCAGCCGCTCCAAGGGAGGAAGATGAGGCTTTCTGCTCCCATAAAGGGCTACAGCATTGGAAACCCCTGGGGGCAATCTCCCCCTGTCCTAGAGGGTCACTGGTGGTGGCCATGGACTCGAGGGCAGTGGCAGCGAGCCACTAACCGGCAGGTGAAGGAGGAGTGCGCTCAAGCCTATTTCCAAGCTGGGAGAGGTTGGGTAGCGGCTTCCTGAAGGGCACTGCCTGTCTGTGGCAGGTGGGGACAGAGGCTCTCCCCACCCCACCCCACCTGGTCCCCACTGAGGTGCAGGCGTGGGGGAGGGGAGACTCACCTGCGGGGCCCAGCAGAGGCCCGTTTGCTCCCCGCCAGGGACATGGCCATGAGGCTGCGCGTCCGCGTGAGGGGCGGGATGGGCGATGTCCCAGGGGCTGAGGAGAGAGGGCGGGTTGGGGGGGCCGTGGGGAGGGCCGGGCCGGGCCACGTCATCCTCTCACTGGGGCCGCTGCCCAGCATGGCTTCTCCTCTCACCCTTCAGCAAGGGTACCCGGGCAGAGTAGTCCAGGTGCAGCCACAGCTGCCTCCACCCACGAACGTGGCAGGGCTGGCGCCCAGGCTCTGCAAGTCCCTGATGGCGAGCACCTCTCAGTCCAGCCCCATGGTCTCCAGAGACAGTGAATGAACGCCTTGCCCAGGGTCACCCTGGCCTGGGCTCCCCGACACACGCCTCCCCACCCCTCCTCAGCGAGGGCTGCAGGCTGCAGGTCTCCTGGAGCAGGGCCAGGAGCCCCCTGCTAGGCCGGGCTAGTCTTGATGACCGTCACCTTCCCAGAGTGCCCGTCGGCGCGTGGCTTCCCGTCTACAGGGGAGACAAGACAGATGGACAGACCAGCACACGTGTAGAGAGACATGGATACACAGAATGTGAGGATGTTGGACGGTGTCCTTGCCATGCCAAGTGGCCCTTGCGTCTCAGCGGCCATGCAGCTGGAACCCACGCACATGCAGCACCGAGGCATGCCTGCACCCACCCCTGCAGCATGCACGGGATTCTACCACACGCTGGAGACTCAGGGACATGGGCTCAAGGCAGAGGGGTGGGGGATGCGTCCAGACACAGAACAGCCCGTCCCGCGGCCCTTCCCTGACTCAAGCTGGCTCCAAGGCGGTCTTGGTGAGGATGGGGGTGGGGGTGAAGAAGAGGAGAGGTCCCACGCTGGCCCAGCATCAGCCCAGAGCCCTTCTATCGCCAACATGCGGTCCTGCGCTAGCTCCAGGCACCCCAGCAACCCCCTCCTTTGGTGCTCAGAGCTCAAGGACTGAGGACCGTAGCCAGGTGACGCGAGCAGGGGCAGGCCAGGGACACTGTGCACTGCGCGGGGAGAGAAGCGGCCCCCGGCACCGCGACACGCACATTACGTACATCCTGTCACTGCTGTTGCCCCCCAAGAACCCTATAAGGAAGCGCCATGATTAGTCCTGTGGGGAACTGGGGCCCCTGGGAGGGAAGGGGCTGGGTCCAAACCCCCCCTGCAGAGTGCGGCAGGACCAGCGCCTGAACGGGTCACCTAGCTGTCGAGGAGATGGGTCTCCCAGCCTGGAGGCCCCCCCACCCCC